TCAAAAACAAGAGGTAGGGTGAAAATAAGAGTATATAATACTTTGTATTCATAGCTAAGTTACTGTGGGCATCCACTGGACAGTGGTAGCATAATCTGATCACACATGAGGCTACAGGCAGACTTTTGGGGTCATGTTCACATCTGCGTGGCTCCTTTAGCTGAATACTGTATCGTAGTAAGCCTGGCAGGACCCAGCCCTGCTCTTTACTGAACATTAGACACGTTTCTGAAACAGTCAGCGCTCATCAGAGCTTCTCAGAGCACAGAAGCGCTCTCAGCTCATCTGACAGAGGGTTTGTTGTCGCTTGAAGAGCCAATTATGAGAGTTGTTTTGGACTTGAGAGAGATCGTTTGCTTCCCAGATAGACTCCTGTTACATCTGACACACTTCGGTTCCACTTCACTCATTTACTTCACACAATCTGTTCTTCAGTCCGTCAGACAGATCTGTCATTTATAGATAGTTATGTAATAAATTACATATATATTTGCTATATTTTGTATCGGCAGGTTTGAGTCTGCATTTCTGAGCTTGTCACTGATTTGATGTGAAAATTTGACAAACATGACAAAAATATAAAGAATGTTTTTTTTACTTTCTATTTAGAACCTTTTTGAAAAGGGTTCTGTATAGTGGTAAAAAGGTTCATTGCGTATGATGAAATGGTTCTTCAGAATGTGCTTTAGATGGTTCTATATAGAACCATTTTGATAAGAGCACCAAAAAAGGCTTATTCAATTCAAGCATATAATATTAGACGAACCTTTTTTGGTGCTATACAGAGCTCTTTTCAAAAAGGTTCTATACAGACCCATCCAAAGGACATTCTCCATCAATCTGAAGAACAGTTTCATGATGCAAAGAACTCTTCAACCATGCAAAAGGTGTTCATGGTTCTATATAGAACCTTCTATATTTCCTTTACTAAAGAAAGAACTTCCCTTAAAGAACCGTCATTGCATGCACAACTTTTCAGCTAAATGAAATCATACACACTTAAAAAACATGGTTCTTTAAGGGTTCTTTAGAACAGTGAGTTCTACATAGAACCACCTCATGCCTAAATGGTTCTATGCATGGTGAAATGGTTCTTGAGATCGATGATGAATGTGTTGTGTATGGTTTTGTGTGGCACCTTTTTGGTTCTATATAGCACCAAAAAGCACTAGAAAGGGTTGTTCTGTTGCAACGCTGTGAAACCTTCTGACCTCGCGCTCATGTGATGAACAGACAGACTTCAGCTTCTGGAGAAATGCTAAAAATAATGCTGATTGATTAAATTTACACCCACAGGATGGAAAAAAAGGAACCTGGTATTATGTAAGGTTCCACAGGTCGTCGTCGGGGGCTTTTTCCTGCATGTGGAGTTATGAGTCACTCTAGTGTCAGCAGTTCTCTTGCTGTTACTTTCCTGCCACCGTATTTCTGTTTCTTGGTTGTGACCTACAGGCTCCTGAAATAACAATTGACTGTCCAGTGAAGAGTAATTTAGGTTCTTGAACTTTTGTATCTGACCTGTTCAACTGGTTTTGTGTTTGAAGTGTACATTAAGATTTACTCGTATTCAGGTATTGGGACGTATTGTTCTCCTGCTGACGTCACCTCCTTCCTTACAAACTAAAGACGGTTAATTTAAAGCCTAAGTGATCTGCAGTGAGCGCACTGCCTAGTAATAGGGCTGAACGATTTTATCTGACCAATATTACAATTACAGTTTAATTTGCAGTTGTTAATAATTGAGGTGTAAATTGAGGAGTGGGCCTTTTTTTGGCTAAAAACACGAGTGCATGTTTTTTCTAGCTTGAGACTTGAACTCTTTTTTTTTTTTTTATATTTTTTTGGGGATTTTTAACCCAATTATCTACCCAATTTAGTCGTAGCCAATTCCACCTGCTAGTTAGGACTCCCCCATCACACGATACTATCAACGCTAGGAGGGCGAAGGCTAACACAGGCTTCCTCCGAGACCTGTGAAGCACCACCGCTTCTTTTCGAACTGCCGCTCACGCAACGTCATTGGACAGCCGAACGCGCTTGGAGGAAAGCGCCAACCGCCAGATCTGTTACGTCAGCTAACAGACGCCTGCGCTGACTAGCATCGCGCTGGGTGAGTGATGGGGGGAGAAGGGCAGCCATCCCACCCACCCAGAGAGAGCGAGGCCAATTGTGCTCTCTCGGACTCCTGGCTACGGACGGCTGTAGCGTCACCAGGGATTGAACTCGCGATCTCCAGATGACAGGGCCAACGCTTAGACGGTTGCGCCACTCGGGAGCCCCCCGAGACTTGAACTCTTAACGCACTGGGCCAGCCTGCCAGTTATTTGTGGTTGTGATGTCACAGCAATATATTTAGCGTCTAATAAGTGTCTTCATTGGTATGGTGAGCAGGCTTTACCCTGCCTAGTGATTGAGAGTGCTCTTTTCTAAACTATTGTTAAAAGCACTAAAGATGGCCTAGAGGAGGTTAAACACCTGAAAGGTTTGAGTACTGACCTCACAACATGGGCGGCGGGGGGATAATGTGTGGCCTCTAGCTTTATTCCCATGATAGCACTGTCACTAGGCTTTGATGTGCTGGTCAGTACTTGCAAACTGACAAATGTTCTCATTAGTATTAAAGACAGTTTGTAAAGCTAGGTGTCCCCAAACGTTTGATGGGCAGTGAGGACTTTTTCTAATGACCACTCAGTAGCACGTATATTCTTCCTCTCTGTGTGAATGTGTGGCTCTTGAATTCCTCACAGCTGCTTTAGAGTGCTCTGTATACACTCTGAGGATAGATAGCTCACCCTCGCAGACACCCCACTCATGCATGCAGACGTATGCCAACAAGCACAAATCCCAAAAAGACTGAGTGATACTCTCCGACACATCCTCCAGACCCTGCTGACCCAGAGAAACAGTCCCAAACTCCGATACACGCGCAGTGCGGAGCAGGCGGATTAGTGCTGTTGTTTTTGGACACAGATGCTTCGGACTGGTCCTGAACTTTATCTGCCCTTTCTGTGTCACTGTCTAACCCCCCGCCTTCCCTTCGCTTACGCCTCTCCGCACTTTGGCTCTCTTTCTGCAGTGTCCAGCTCAAAGGTCTTTACTGTCTTCCTGTCATTATTCCCCAAACTGGGCCATGTAACTTTTTAACCGTTAACCTGCTACACAAGGTCAAAAAAAGAGAATCAGCCCAGCTGTAATGCGATGAGGAAGCGATAGTTCTTAGTTAAAGTGATAGTTCAATTTTGACCCAGATGTAGTTGTTCAAGCCGGACATGTTTGGTGTCTAAAGGTTACATCTTCAGTCCTGCACTGGAGCTACAAGGCTAACGTAGATATCATGCAATGGAAACTTGTACACCACCAGTTAGCATCTTGTGCAAATTCCATCTTGGACAGTCAGAATTTTGCCTGTACTTTGGTCTGTTTACATTAGAGGTGGCACAACCTGATATCAGTATCAGGCCGATATCAGCAGAAAATGCTGGATGGGGTAAAAAGATTGGACCCCATCCTGTAATGAATCTATACTGAAATAGCACTCACTCAAACGGCCTGACGTCTAACAATACAATATGTAACAATGCAACGTATCTTACTGTATTGCGATGTCTAGTTGTGTAACAGTACAACCTTTCTTGTTGTATCACGATGTCTAGTGACGTAACAATGCGACGTATCTTACTGTATCGCAATGTCCAGCGATGTAACAACATATTTCATTGCTATGTCTAGCAGTGTAACAATACAACATATCATGATGTCTAGCAGTGTAACGAGGTATCGAAAGATATCGTGATATCTACTGATGTAACAGTACCACATATCTTATTGTATTGCAATGTCTAGCAGTGAAATAATTCACCATATCTTACTGTATCACAATGTTTAGTGGTATAACAATACAGCATGTCTTATTGTATCGCAATGTCTAGCGATGTAACAATACAGCCTATCTTCACGTATCACAATGTCTAAATACAACATATTGTGATGAATGAATGAAATTAAAAATTTTAATCCAACTGTGTCTAAACACATCGGAATTAGACCTCCGCATTTAACCCATCCGTACAGTGAAACACCACATACACACTAGGGGGCAGTGAGCACACTTGCCCGGAGCGGTGGGCAGCCCTATCCACGGCGCCTAGGGAGCAGTTTGGGGGTTAGGTGCCTTGCTCAAGGGCACTTCAGTCACGTACTGTCAGCTGAGGGGATCGACCTGGCGGCAGGTTCCCTTACCTCCAGCCCACGACTGCCCCTAATGTCTAATGTGATGTAATGTGATGTCTAGCGATGTAACAATACAACATATCGTATTGTATCGTGTTTTTTAGCGATGTAACAATACAACATGTCTGATAGTATCATAGCGATGTAACAATATGATGTATCTTACTGTATCACAAAGTCTAGCGGTGTAACAATACAACATATTGTATCATGATGTCTAGCAATGTAACAGTACAGCATATCTTACTGAATCACAGTGTCTAGCAATGTAACAATACCACGTATCTTATTGTATCGCAATGTCTAGCAGTAAAATAATACACCATATCTTACTGTATCACAATGTCTAACGATGTAACAATACAACTTATTATATCGCAGCGTATCGTATTGTACCTTATTGTATCATTGTATTGTGACCAGCAGAGCTTATTTAAATCTTGTGCTTTTATAATGTTCAGTGCTCTAATAAACATATGAACAAACGTGTGATGATTTATACATGCGATTCGCCCTGTACTGACAGGTTTGCATAGACTTCCATTACTTGTTAGTTACATTAACCTTGAAGCTCCAGGAAGTAAAGAAGTCAACTTCAGACATCAGATATAATGTGTGATAGACAGCAGTTGGAGTGAGGGGCAAAACTGTGTAAATATTTTAGGAATGATCACTTTGCGTTTTAAAATTGCGTGTTTGATTACTTTCAGCATGTATTTTTACTGTGTTGTTTTAAATGCTTTATTTTTGTTGTTCTGTGTCTTTTTCAGCTTACTCCTGCCACATGATTTCACTGTGTACTCTTACGCCAAGGACGGCTCACTGGTCACAGAAAGGCCCAACATGAAGGTAAGGAGCTCCTCTCCAAGCCAGGCCAGCTGCTGGCCAGCCTGCTGCCTATAGGATTGTTCTGCAACACCTGGTTTCTATAAAACATGAGAGGGATGTTTTGTCCTGCGTCACTTTTTTCCCTCTTGAACGCTGTGGAGACTCCTTAAAAGTTCTGCTTGTTCCAGCCAGACATCCTGTCAGTCCGTCCGAGATGGCTTGTAACAGAACCTGACAGCACAGACACTGTGTGAATGATATGCCTTCATTTCTGGCACTATAGCCTGTTTACAGTAGAAGAGCTATTCTGTATTTTTACTGTTATACACTTTTTAGATTAATGGTCAAGAAAATAACACATAGGAAGTCACTGCATTTAGAAATACTAACCTACTGTCAATTACAGCTGTTTATTGAAGATGCATCGATATTGGAATTGTGGGCTGATGCCGGTATCCAATCCTTTTCATGTACTTATCTGTCCATGCCGATACATAAACATTTATGAAATGCAGAAACTGGAACTATATCTTACCTATATTAGCATGACAGGCAGGGGAATTCCACCAATATTTTTAAAATTCTGCATAACTAAATCATTTAGATGGAAACGGTCATTCAGAGTGGTTTGATGTGATATGCTCCGTTGAAGAGAAGCTTTGAGTCAGAATGTTGCACAGTAAAGGTGATGGGGGTCTCTAAAATGCCAATAAAGGCTCCCTCGCAGAAAGTTAGTACATGAAATGGTTGTAAATACACTGTCTGTTGCCTGAAACATTGTTTCATGATAGTTTTGTGTAGGTTTTGGCCTAAAATAGGTTTTTCTGAATCCATTTCTGGTGAAAAGTGTTGTAAGACAAACAGCCCCCAAAGAATCAGGATCAGCATGACATGTAAAAACTCAACAAGAGTAGGTTCACTGGTGGTTTTGGATACCAAAAAAAAACAGCTATATTTGTGTTGTAGACAACAAAACCACCACTGTAAAAGTATCAGTCCATACGTTTCTCTACAACTAACCTCACATTAAACCATTATGAATGACTTGGTTTACATTTCAACAGTTGAAATATGATGAAATTTTGAACATTTGGTGGAATTCCTCTTCAAATGCATGGGTAGCTATCTTGTATTTCAAATTTCATTTGTTTTTTTTCTGTCTGGTTGTGGAAGCTACAGTGAAATAGGCTGGTTGGTGGTTGTTAACCTCGTATTAGTGGTGCATCTGCCACATAATGCTTCCTGGCTGGGCCCCTTAATCTGTAACCAGCCCCCATTTAAAATGAAATTTGGCCACTGTTATATAAGCTTAATTACAAAGTAATGACTGCATAAGTTGACACCTTTTCTGCATTACGCGTTCCTTTCTAGATCCAATGCTGCAGTTATTAGGGTGTGGATTCTCGGCACAGGGGAGAACACTTCAGTCCTAATGCTTAGAGCAAAGCTGCTGCTCACGGAAGAGCAGAATTAGTCAGCCTTACAGGAATTCATGTTAAAAGTGCTATAGAGGAGAGAGAGAGCAGCACTTTCTGCAGGGAGTGGGGCATTAGATACATGACTAAAGGGTGGGAAGGGGAAGGGAAGGAGAAGATGGCTTGACTGTTCGAATGTAAACAGAGAGAAATGGATGGTGCTGTTGAAACTGTAATACGAGATCATGGCTGAAATCCCTCTGCTCGGCCTCACGCAGTCCTGATTTCTCCCAGCAGGGAAGTGAAAGCTGCATCTTTACTCTACAGTTGAGTCAACAGCATGCTGGACGCCAAGCACATCCTACTGACCTCCTTGCACAAAAACAAAACCTCCCAACTGGCTCAGCCTCGCAGTCTGGCTGACTTCGCAGTGCCACATGGGAGTTGCAGACTAATTGTGTGGACATCTGGATGTCCGGTGAATGAAATGGATTGTAAAAAAAAAAGCTAATATTAATTGTGATCGAGTGATCTGCTGATTATTTTGGCATTTAAAAAAACAGGCCAGTTATAATGAATAATAAACCGTTCAGCAAAACCTCCACTGGCCTTTTTTCGGTCCAGATCTGCTCTTAGTGAGTCAGTATTTTAGTGCTCTCTGCAATTAGCCGGTTAGTGGCTGACATCATTTAAACAGCAGGTCTTGGGAGATGTCAAGTGGTTACATTTAGTTAAAAGTAAACAATTTTTAATGGCAGTTAATTACATATTAATTACATGACTGCCTTTGTTGAAATCTGTATTTTGTTGTTGTTTTATCAGTGTTTCTTGTAATTTATCAGGTATGATTTTTGCATTCTGTTCGGTGGATCAAGAATTAATGCAGACCATTGACTGGTCAAACAAAGTGGTCAGAGAATGACGTGTTATTAGTTGAATCAGACCGCAGCAGTTTTGAAAGTACTAGCTACCCAAGATCACAGTCCTGCAATCACCACATAAAACTAAAAGCAGTAAAGGCAGCAGTTACTAATCATGTTTATTCTGAAATCACAGTTTATAAGAGTGCAGCTTTTAAATTGCGAGAGCTGCAGTTTGAATTATATAGTCAATTATTTGATGCTTAAGTTTTAATTGGCCTAATTTGACCTAATGCAGAGCTTGTGAACTGGCTGTCTGGCACATTTAGCGTTTAAGCCATAGATCCAAAAAAGTGTGCATGTTGGTGTTCTTGACAAGAATGCCTTAAAGCCTAAATGTCTATATTTGTGTCGTAGACATTGTGACCCCTGGTTCCTGTCAGCACCACTGTAAAGAAACCTTAGTCAGTAAGTTTCTCTACTATGAACCTTTATGTCGTGTGTAGTGAGCAAGGAGGCTGGACATACTTGTGAGCACACTTTAATGAACAAAACAGACTAGTAGAAACATCGAACACACAAAAAAAGAAACTACTAAGCTTAACAAAGAAACACTGAGCAGACCAAATATGAGCGAGTCACACAGCAACTACATCTGGCAAAATGACAAGTAGGCCAGACCAACACTGACTGAAACAAAGGGCTTGATAAAGGGTAGAACAAATGGGGAACACCTGGGAGAGGGAGGAGACCAAGACTACAGACAGGTGAGGATGCTAATAGGGAAGGCGGGGAAAGGGCGGAGCACAGGAACCAAAACAAAAGAGTGCAGCTTTTAAATTGCAAGAGCTGCGGTTTGAATTATATAGTAAATTATTTGTTGCTTAAGTTTTAATTGGCCTAATTTGACCTAATGCAGAGCTTGTGAACTGGCTGTTGGGCACATTTAGCGTTTAAGCCACAGATCCAAAAAAGTGTGCATGTTAGTGTTCTTGACAAAACAGTTAATATGCCTTAATAAAGCTTAATTTATAGAACATATTTGCATTGTGTTTACTGTCAACACTACTAGCATCATGTGCGAAGTCATGTCATCACCTCCCAACCTTCAGACTAGTCTTGTATGGCCTGACATGATCAAGTAATGAGAATACACGTCTTCTGGTGCTGGATTGAGGTGAAATCGGCCATTAATGTGGATCCCCTTTTAAAACCCACCCTCAGATTCCTGTTGTTAGCTAACAGAACTGTTTACTCTAATAAAAGATAGTGTTTATTTCTGCACACAGGACACACGTCCACATGCTTAAGTGGAGTTTGGGGGGACTTTTCAGTCATGCTTAAGTTGCATCCTTGTGCTAACAATAGCTGTTATCTGTCGGTCAGTGTTGATAAGCGCCATCAGCCCTATTTTGAGCTGTAATGAGGTGTTGGACTAGTTTAGAAGTTGCACACTCAGTTTGTTCCCACCCTAATGAGTCTACATTACCCCCACATTTAAGTCCAAACTTTCTCATAGTTGCTCCCAGATGTCTTATGTGGCCCCTCAAGACTACTTTCCGCCTACTTTCACAAGTTCTTTTGTGCAGTGGGAAACAGGTATTCAGCCAGGGTACACATAAAAAATTGAATGAAAAAAGCTGTTTATCTAAGCATTTATTTGATTGGAAAAACACCAATAAGAAGAAATACAAAAACAATAAAAAGTGAAGGTTTTATGTTTGTAAATGTGTCTGTTCACAAACATAAAAGCCAAAAGGGGAACTCCACCAATTTTCATCTATTCATGGCAGAGGGGTAGATGCAGGGCATTGTAAGACAAAATAGTGCCAAAAAACTCTTTTTTTTTTTTTGTCTAATAGAGTGGACAGTGAGTGGGCACAGTGTTTAAAAACTCCAGTAGCACTGCTGTGTCTGATCCACTCAGACCAGCACAGCACACACTAACACCCACCACGACATCAATGTTACTGCAGTGCTGAGAATGATCCACCACCCAAGTAGTACCTGCTCCGTGAGGGTCCATGGGGGTCCTGAGCACTGAAGATCAGGGTAAAAGGGGGCTAACGAAGTATGCAGAGAAACAGATGGACTACAGTCTGTAACTGTAGAACTACAAAGTGCACCTATATAGTAAGTGGAGCTGATAAAATGGACAATGAGAGTAGAAACAATGTTATGCCTGATCGGTGTTTATAAAAACTCAGACTATAAAGACTCATGTGGGTTCACTGGTGGTTTTGGATAGTAAATAAAATAGCTATAGTTGTGTTGTAGACACTGTAACCCCTGGTTCCCATCACCGCCACTGTAAAGAAATCAGCGTCAGTAATTTTCTCTACTATGAACCATTACACGTCAAACCACTCTAAATGACTCTGTTTACATCTCATGGCATGAATTATCCAGAAATTTTGAAAAATTGGTGGTATTCCCCTTTAATGTTTAATTAAGTGTGCTGGTGATGGAATTTAACAAATCTCTGTGAAGTCTGGGGACATAATATATCATTTTTCTCCCCAATTTAACCCTGACCAGTTCTACCAGCTTGCTAGGTCTTGCCCGATCACACAGTCTGCCAAGCTGGGATGGTGAAGGCCACCCCATGCTTCCTCTGAGACACGCGGAGCTCCACCACATCTTTTCAAACTGCTTCTAATGCAGCATCACTGGACATCTCAACACATCGGGAGGAGAATGAGAACTGCTAATGCTGTTATGTTAGCTGACGGACACCTGTGTTAAG